AGACGCCAAACGCTGATCCCACCGCGAAATCCCGAATGCCTCGACTTCCGCTGCGTCTATGCACATGACGAAACATCGGACGAAATGCTCCATCAGCTTCGCCTCCTCGCGAGGCACAGTCTAGAACTGAGCCTCACGGCGAGCGCATGCGATCACGTGCTAGTCTCCCTACGCCTGCGCTCTAGAAAATTTTGTTGCACTACCATGATTTATAAAAGAGGATTCACCATAGGCTTCCGTTCCCTTTATACAGGTGTGCAAACTTTGTGTTTTTGCTAAAATTACTAAGTTCGAAGTTTGCTCCACCAATGCCGACCATACCATATGGGGTAGCAAAATGATGGCTGCGCAGTGGAGAGTCCAAAAATGAAGTTTAATATCAAGAAATTCATGCCTGTACAAAGTTAGGGCTCACCTCCAACCGATATGCCCGTAGGTTATGCAATCAGCAGGGCCTTTTTTTCCTCGTTAGTTTGTCCTCAAACAACATTTTCATACAGATATTTGGAATCAGGAGATCGAGAGCTTTCGATTGGTAGTATGAACAGTTGATTTCGTCCACTCCTAGAGATTCTGACGGTTTTCGACGGGTTAATACGTTGGAAACGGATTTTGGGACAAAAATTACGGCTGGTACTGTAAGTCGTTGAGCTTTTTTTCGGATGCACTTTTTTCCACCTAGTTGTTATCATTTAGGTGCAAATCATATACCATTCGAAAGCGCCAATGTTCCTCTATAAGAGCTTTGTGAATAGTTTTTTCTCTAAAACGACAGTTTGCTAGAGTTTTGCGCCTGTAAACTCAAGCAATGTGTCAATGAAAAACAGCGCAACCGACAGCTACCTCTGCTAGCATTCAGTTAAAGCTCGGAAGGCCATCAAAACTGGGCAAGCGACCTGTTCTAGGTATGGAAGAGATGTTTTACTTGAAATACAAGTAACTGGTCATCGGCGATTTTCTGAGCTTTAAAAATGCATATTCCGACTGGATAACAGCAACCTCCTCGACCAAACATATTTCTTTCACGAAGATCTGGGAATTGCTCCAGCGGAATCGTTTGGTCTAGATGGACATCATACTTCTCAAAGTTACCAAATAACTGAGGTAGTCCTGCTGAAAGGATCCAATAACAAGGCTCTAGTCATCCTATGCCATCATAATATCGGAACCCTCCCTTGCCAGCATCGCCAAACTGGCCCTCCAACACTTCCATTGATGATGTTCTTCCGCGTTTATATTTTGCAGAGCCTACAAGCTCAAAATGTACGGGGTGGTTTCTGATCCCTGTTGGATGCAAGGAGAAAATGTTCTTTATTCATAAATTGGCGGTTTTCTTCTTAAGCCTATAAATTGAGTGATTCAATATTCTATAACGGTTTTGTAAAGCAAGTCAAGCGCTTTCAGGTGGTATAGAGCACGTTATGGAAAAATGACAATGGGTGGGAAAAATCGCAACTGAAGAAAGCGCAAGGAATTATGCTAACACCCAATATATATATTGAATTCTATGCATTTTGTTCGGTTTTGCCTTCGCAATTGGTGGCAGCTATTATGGAATTATATTTTTTTTGAAAAGTGTCATTTTTTTAAGAGGCTACTTTGCGCTGATTTTTGCATTACTGGTTCCTACCAATTCTCACCGACTGCGTATTTGTATTTATATCTACTGCAATTTTTGGTTTTCCTGTTTCAATCTTGTCTTGTGGAAAAGATGTGAACCATGAGACGTTGCACTGAAAGGTTTCAAAAATGATTGTGCAAATTTTACTATAGCTTTCCCTCAATTAGACCTGTGTTCTGTGTATACGCGATGCACTGCTAGTTTTATGAGCACAGTTCATGTTCGGCGAACATCCTCCGCGGCCTTATTAGTCTTCCTTGGAAACCTTTGGTTTTCGGCGAAGGCACGTTTTTCGCGTTTAGCTTCGCGCCCATTTGAGGAGATGTTGTAGATGTTGATCTCTGATGCTGTTTCCACAGAACCAGTAGGAACATCCGGTACAATCACGACCTTAGACTTTCATGACGTCATATTGTTACATCGAAAGTTTAAGCGGAACTGACACATAGGTATGTATATGTATTGTTCAAAGTGAGAATTGAATGATTTTTGAAATCTGTTAACAACAGAAAAACCAAATATGTTCTTACGGGACTAGAAATCTTTCTAAAAACTATTTATGAGTGCAGGAAAGCTACATATTCCGGGTGAGGGGGGGGGGGTACCCGAGCAATGACATGATTGAGAATATGTATAAATGTGGATCAAAAAGCCAAGCAAAATAATGAGTTCACTTCACATTTTTGTGGCATTTTTGTGGTTGTTCAGAAAGCCCAGCACTTCCAAGCACATGATTCAACACGTTATCCCGTCTACAAAGGGAAGGTCACATAATTTACAGGATTTTCATTGTTTTTTTCGATCTTCTGGTCTCCAAGCCACTTCCTAGTAAGTACTGGATGGAAGTTTGAGGGTTTTTTTTCAGCATTCGTTACCGAAATCTCTCCCAAAGGAAAAGCAAAAATCAATCTTAGCTTGGGAAGCACAGCAAAGA